CACACTTGTTCTCTCTTGTCTTTTTTATGATGCCATTCTAACAGGTGCGAGGTGATATCTCATTGTGGTTTGGATTTGTAGATTTGAACTCAACGTGAGTGGAGCATGCTCTTCTTATGTGGCTTCTTTCACTTGTTATGTCTGTGAGATTCATCCATATTCAAACGTAATTGCAGATTATTTTTCTTATTGCTGTATACTTTCCCTTGTGTGGACATATATAACTTAATTCATTTACAAGCATATTTTTATTTTTTGCTCCATGGAGGAAGGCATGGCATCTGCACAGATTTGGCCTCAAACAGAATCCCTACGGCCACCCCACTGACCCCACTGAGACGCCACCCCGGCGGGGAGTGCTGCGTCCCGGTTACACAGCCCCTGCTCCCATGGCTTCGGGACCTAGGCTGTTCCTGACCCAGCCCCGCTCAGGTCGCAGCCCTGGCACATCATCATGGTAGCTCAGTAAATACCTGTGAGTTGTTGAAAGAGTGTAGGCTCTAGAATCAAACCATGTGAAATCTAAATTGTCCCTTACCTTCTATTTGAGTATGGATAAATGGTTTAACTTCTGTAGCCTCCATTTTCTCAGCCACGAAGAGGGAATGCCAGACTTTGGGGAGGACTAGTGAGAAACTGTGAACTGTGCCTGGCCGAGTGCCTCACATACAAAGGCAATGAACCAGGTCATTCCTTCCCCATCTAGTCAGTTCAGCGGCACTTGCAGGCTAACCCTTACTGCACCTGAAGAGGAGTACTATCTCCCCTCGATTGTTCACTGCTTCAGACTGTGAATGCAGGAATGAAGGCAGGCCAAGAGCAGCGGCAAGGGCTGGAGAAACGGGAAGGCAGCAAGCCTGCTTGCTCTTTTGATAATGTCAACAAATTAGCTGCCCTGTGATTGGGAAGCAGTGTGGCACCATGACCCGGGATTGGCTGATCAGTGTTTACATTTGCAGTGGGATTCAAGGTCGGTATGACAACACATGCAATTACAGTCACGCCACTGGCACGTGCCATTCCTGGAGCCACAGTGGTGCTGTGAGCACCATGTGGTGTCTAATGGGGACAAGGGACTTTTAGAGAGCCAGGGAAATCTGTCATGCCAGCTGCCCCAGTGGGGACAATTTAGTCCAATCTAGCTGGTTAAAAGGAGCACAGTAGCCTTTTTTTCCTAGACCACACGCATTGACCACTTGTCATGGTGTGCACACCTCTGGCCCGACTTTGGGGCAGAGTAGTACCTAGGGTGAGCCTGAAGATCAGCTGGCTAGATGGAGTGTTAATGTCCCAGAGGCTACAGGGGAAGAGGTGTTGCCTCATAGCATTTACCTCTTGGGATAATAGGGAAAATCTCTTTTTCCCACATCCTTCTTGTAAAGCACAAGCTTGGAGTGTTAAGGTGGCCTTTAGCCAGAAGCCTGGCATCAAATATTTATACAGTACCAGAGCAAATAGCTCTCTGTGCACAGTAGGGAAGCTGCTTTACTTTTATAAAAAATGCGGTGATAATGGAGTGTTTTCCATAGATGGAAGGCGATTTAACCTTTTACATCGGGAGCCTTCACTGTAAGATCTATTTATACCCAGCCCAGTGCACATTACAGCGAGGCTGAGCCAGAGGGGCAGCGAGGAGACGGGAGTGGACAAGGCCGTCAAAACAGGGGGCAGTTTAAAAGCCCAGCTGTCTGCTCTCTGTGGTTCATCAACTTTTTTTTGCTGTTCCAGATGACCAAATTTTGACAGCCATTCTGAACTGGCTTCAGAGTTAAGTAGGTGAATCAGCGCTCTGGATTTGAGAGAGTGGAGCCTGCTGGCTGAGAGGCTGGGAAGCAAACACTGGATGAGGAGGCTGGGAAATAAGGGCCTGGTGTGTTCCTATTTCATGCCCCCAAGTGTGGCCATAGCTCTCCCCGCTGATCACGCAGCCCTCCTCCCAGGCCTGCGACTCAGGAGGAAGGAGGGGCAGCCAGGCAGGGATGGGAAAGTCTGGATGGGCTGCAGTGTCGTCTTCTGCCTTCTGGACCTCAGCTCTGCAGTACAGTGTCCTGCGCGGGCGAAATACCATCGTATTGTTTGTGCCAGGTTGGGCACTTGAATACTTAAAGCATGTGGTAGGCGCATTTAAAGAGCTGAGAGGTTTTCCTTTCAGGAGATCTGTTAGAGGCTTTGGAAATTGGATAGAACACATTTTTGTAGAAGCCTCAAAGGAATTTGTACTGTGTTGATATAATCCCAAAGGAATCATTGAGTGCCTTCTGGTCCTGAGCATCCCCAGGGCAGGACTTGGGACAGCTTTGTTGGAAGGGGGTATGTTCCATAGGCCATGCCTAGTGCGGCAGCAGCTCCAGCTGGGCCAGAACTTTGAGAGTGAGCTGGACTGCTGTCCATGCTGGCCCTGCACCCCAAAATAACTTGTAATGTAGTTTAGCTGAAGAACAGCTCTGTTCTTCCTTGGTCATTTGGCAAGATGTCTCTTAGGAGAGCATTGAACAAACACTTGGGGAATACTTTTTAGCAGAGCAGGTGACAGGGACAAGCTTAGAACTTTTGCTAAGGCTGTTTGATAACAGAGTCACAGGATAGGAAACAAAAAGAACTGGAGCGTGGTATTGATTAATCTGCAGGGATCTTACTTGAAACGGAGAATTATCTTGTCAGATAGGAATAATATCAAGATAAGACTGCTGTGCTCCAGGAATTACCTTCACAGCCATGGTCTGTTGAGCTGGTCAGGTCTCTCAATCATTCTGGAATAGTCAGTTATGTCCCCAGGCTAAGCAAAGTACCCTGGTCTCATGTTTCTTAGGTTTAGGTTGCACATTGTATCAGTCAGTTATGGCTGTGATAATGCCATGTAACAAACCACTCCAGAGCTCATTGGCTTAAAATAGTAATTTCTTCTCACGCATTTGCAGGCTGGCTGGAGCACCTCCACTGAGGCAGTGATTGCAGCTGGGCCCACTCAGAGGTTGGACCTAAGCTGACCTGAGCTAAGCTTCATTCGGGCATCTCTGCTCCACCTGTCTTTCATCTTCCTGGAACCATCCGGGCAGCTGGGACATGTCCTCTCAAAGTGGTAGCAGAGGCACAGAGATCAGCTCAACCAGATGCACAGGTGCTTTTAAGCTCCTGCTTGCATCACACCTGTTAGTATCCCATTAGCCAGGCAAGTCACATGGATAAGCCCGTAGTTGGCTGGTCTTCCCAGCGGTCATCTAAGTCTTTTATTCTCATGATTCTGCTACTGTCAAGATGGGCGTGGGGAGATTGATTGATTTAATTAATTATTTGCCTGTTCATGTCCTTTGCCCATTTCTAATGGTGTTTTCTGCTCAATGTGTAAAAGCTTTTAAAATATAAAGAATGTTAAGCTTAGCCATTTATTTTTCTCGTTGCAACTAATTTACTCATTTTGGTAGACTTTTGATTTCGTTTATCAGTTCTTTTGGAAGAAGCTTAAGATTATTATGTATTTACATCTGTCAGTTTTTTCTCTGTGACTTCTGGAAAATGCTGGCTGTTCCTGAGCTCCAGTGTGAGTTGGAGGACTTTCTGAATTTGTCTTCCTTCCTCCCCTGAAAAAACAAAATTCACATTACTATGTGAATTGTCCTTTTAAATAAAAATAGTATATATTTAAACATTTTTTTGTGTATTACCATAATAAGATACTACCAGGGGGAGGATTAAACAATAGACATTTGTGTTCTCACAGTTCAGAAGGCTAGAAGTCCATGATCAAGGTGCTAGCAAATTTGTATTTTGATAAGCCCTCTCCTCCTGACTTGCAGACAGCTAGCTGCCTTCTCTCTGTGTCCTCATAGGGCCTTACCTTTGTGCCAGATTAGGCGGGGGGTGGGGGAAGGGGTCTGGTGTCTGTTTCACTTATAAGGACATCAGACTTAACAGAGCAGGGCCAACCATTATGGTCTCAATTATTTTCCTGAAGGTTCTACCTCCAAATACAGTCACTTTGGAGGTTAGAGCTTCAACATATTTGGATTGGGGGCGGGGCACAATTCATTCCATAACAGTCTGATGGAGCAGTGACTTGCAGAATAGAACCTAGAGGGATTCTCTGTCCACACCGCATTTCACAGATGAGGGAGCAAGTCCCTGAAAAGGGTCACATCACTTCTCTTGATAGAGCATGGACCCAAACGACCTGCTTCTAAATCCAGTCCTCTTTCCCTGTAATCTCTAATCTAAATAAATCTAGGGCATTAGGAGTCATTAACAAAACAAAACGAAACGGCAGAAAGCTCCTCCCTCATGTCTTCTGCAGGGGTGGGGACCCTGTTCTAATTTTCTTTATACCCTCATTGCCCAAAGCAGACTTGAATCATGCTGTCTGTGCAGTGTACATTTGTTGAATCGTACAGAACTCAGAACTTGGTACATGGACTAAAGCAATGCCCAAGGAAACATTTTCTGTGATAAATCATTTGGGAGAACTCTCCCTTCCCCCAGATTCCACCTCTTGACAGGAGCCGCCTAACGTGTTATCTGTACAGCAGCCTACATCCTGTGAACTTCCAGGAATCAACGCATCCAGAATCTGTCTGACAGGCTCAGATCTGGTGTGTTGTATCTACCCCTCCTTTAAAAAAATATCTCCCACCTAAATATAGTTTTCATCTAAAAACTGTCTCTAAATGACTGTGTTTTGCCCTGAATAAGTTCTCCCCAGTGCATCCTGACGCTGGAGCGTGAAAAGGAAGGTAAACGCGTGAAATCAAATGGTGATTGCTGACAATGAAATTTGGGCTCATAAAATCAAGGATATTATTCAGAACTGAGAGGTAAATTAGTCTCATTCATTCTGATGGGGCTAGACTCCATGGCTGTGTGTGCCTTCTTTAATTAACATGCTGAAAAGATGTTCTGATTGGGATTATTAATGAATGCAGTGAAAATTTTCGCTGCTTGTAAGGCTTCTGCCACAGACGGTTTGCAGAACATCCCCCCCACCCCGCCTTTTTCTTTTTTTTCCACAGATTCCTTACACAGCTTGACAGATGGAGTATTCATCTTTGAAGCTGTTTCCACAGAAGATAGCAAAACCATGCAGGGCTACGATGCTATTGTTGTCGAACAATGGACGGTCCTGGAAGTAAGTGTGGGATTGGCAGGGGCGCTTCTTTTGTTCGGACATTGATTGTTTTATTCACTTGCTGGATCTGCCTGTGGTGGCTGCTCAGCTGTGGCTTCCCTCTGAAAGGCAGCTTGACCTGGGTAGACCCTGCAAGGACCCCTTTCGTCCCATGCTCCCCCTTTACCACATAGGGGGATGGGCCCCACGATTCCCTTTCTGTAGGAAAAACACACAGTGCGTGTGGTTCCCTTCAGTGCAAAAAAGATTCTTCTTTCATTTATTTGCAAATCACTGCAAACTCTAAGTGACATAAATGAGGCAAACACACAGTTTGTGGCTTCTGTAACAATGAGGGCAGCATCGTTATTGGAGCTAGACCCTATGGCTGCCTCCGCCAGGTGTCCTCAGAAGAAATTTATGCACATGTCCTCACTTAATCTTCCCAGTAAGCCTATGAGGTAGGTACCACAATTGCTCCTGTTTTACAGGTGAGGAACTGAGGCACAGAGAGGTTGGGTCCCTGTCCTAAGGTTACTCATTAAAAGCTGAAGGTTGTCTTCGAGAAATGTTGACCCAGCAGGCCACCAAATTGTAGTGGGCAGAGGAATTCTTCCAGCCACATTTTTCTGGGATGTTGGAACAGCTGATTTATTTCTGAGACTCTCCAGTGTATACTTTAAAGGCACTTCTCCAACTATGGAAGCATAGATGTTTTATTAGTCTCTCCGCAGCAAATGGGATGTAAAGGGAGAAGCTGTTGAACGTAGAGGACTGATTCCTGAATGCCCTCCAGCAGGCCCCGGGAGGGCACGGGCTGCTGTCGCTCTGAGGGGCCCCTGGCAGCCCGGGCTCTGTGCCTGAAGTAAGACAGAGGTGGGTGCAGTTCTCCGTGAGGGGTGTGGGGCCACAGGACCCACCTGCGGCTTGCACATGCTCACCGAGGGAAGCACAGCCTGGAGGCGAGTCCCTCACCTGGTTGCTGGGAGGGGCGCCCCAAGGGCACGGTTACTCAGCCTCTAAGCCTGCAGCAGTGAAGTAGGGAGCAGGGCTGTTGGGGGCATGCCTGGATCTCAGCAGTGTTGGGAGATAACTGCTTGCCAGTGTGACGGCAACAGAGTACAAAGAAATACTGTACCAATCAGAAACAGGAATTCCAAAAACTCAGCGCGCAGGGCCTGTTAGCATCAGGAAAGGAGTCCTGTGTGCACACATGTATGTAGTGAGGAAAGGGAGGAACCAGGTAATGGCCTGGTTTGTGACCAGGCTCCACCTGTTACTCCCGCCTGACCTTCGTCCCAGTGGGCCCCTCACTGGAAATGGGGTGCAAAGAAGTGAGGCTCAGTCTAAAAGGCACAGTCCAACGAGGGCAGGTCATGTCCTCTCTTGGGACCCTGAACATCCTCACCTGTAAGATGGGACATTGCTGCCCATCCAACCCACCACACGAAGCCTTCAGGGGGTGGTGAAACACGAAATAATATTGAGGCCCTTGAGGACCCCGTTAAACAGCTTCAGCACTCCGTGTGCTCTTCACGCTGCTTATAACGCGCGCCTGCACCAATGCAGATGCATGTGTGGAAGCAACTGGCAGGCCGCAGGGATGTGTGTAAAATCTTTTTGTCTGCACATTAAAATGGCTATTAAGAGGAGGCATTGTGGTTTCCTCAAGATGACTTGATGGCAACAATCCAAAATCATCTAAGAAAGTGGTTCTCGAAAGGTGGTCCCAGGCCCCGCAGCATCGGCCCCACCTGGGAAGTTGTTCCAAAGGCAGATTCTTGGGCCTCACCTGGACCTCCTGAACCAGAAACCCTGGGGTGGAGGCCCAGGGGTGTGTGTTTTCACAAGCGCTATGGGGCATTCTGACGCACAGTCAATTTTAAGAACCAGAGTCTGAAAGAACAGCGCAGGTGCCTCTCTCTCCAGGTGTCTGTGGTGAAGGGAACGATGGAAAGAGCTCCTCAGAGATTTGTCTTCTTCAGCCTTTGAAACCAGCAGTGACCTGGGTGAGGAACTGGAATGAATGGATGCTGTATAAAGTGTTTGTGGGAAGGAGATATAAATAAGGATATGTGCCTTTTTAATTTGAAGAGGTCAATCTTACGGGTTCAGAAGTTAGAGCAGAAGAGATGCACATTTATTCAGAAACTTTTCTTGGATTTGCATATTGGTTTTCATTAGGTTTGTCAATTTTATTTCTGCCTCAGATGTTTCAACTTTTCCCTCTTGACCTCTTGTATGTTTGTGTGTTCATCTAGTTGGTGGTACTAGTTGTGGGTCTTGCTGTCCGTTGTCCCTTGTCACCACCCCTGCCAGCACACACGCATGCACCCCGCCCCCTCAGGAATGCTTTGGCTTTTTCCCAGGGATCTTTGCAAATGAAATAGAATGCTAAAGACCTTGGATAAGCCCAGGGGTTGTGCACATTCTTACAAAACCAATTCTGTGTGTCTCTACCCAGCTCCATATTCAGTGACAAACTCAGTCAGATTGGTACCTTGAAATTGGCCGTGGTGGAAGGATTCCACTGTGTAAATTGGCAAACGCTAGAAATTAGGCGGGGGCGGGGGGGGGGGGGGGGTTCCCCTAGGAAAGCCACTTGCAATTGTTTACCAGCGCGCCACTGGGTGGGCCTCTGTTCTATCGCATTTCAAATGATAATGTACAGGTGTGGCTGGCATCCAGCTAAGCGGAAACAGATTTTCTTAATTCTCCTGTAGCGATGACAAGTGGATTGATGGTTTCGATGTTTTTCACCAGTTTTCCCTGCTCAAGTCTTCAGTGGAAGGAGACAGCTGTCCCTTTTAGCAACATCAGCCTCTCAAGGGAAAAGGGAGAGGAGATTTCTTTGGAGCCGACTGTACCCCTGTGGGCTTCCCTTCCTCTTTGCAGCTGGTGTAGACGGCCTTCAGAAATCAGCTCAGGAATCAGCTCAGAGGTCACCTTGGCCTGGAAGCCTTTCAGACTCCTTCAGGATTGAAGACCCTTCTTCTGTGTTCCCATAATTGTCAACACATAAGCCTACTGGGCTCCTACTATACTCCTTTTTGATATCCACTTTTCTCCCTTCACTCTGAGTTTCTTGGCCTGGGGATGTTCATCTTTGTTCTCCAAGGTACCCAGTGATAACTTCCTGAATTGGTTCAGCCCAAGGGTAGATGAACATTCTCAAAATTGAGGTTGTACCAGAATCACCTGGAGAGCTTTTTAAAATGCAGGTAGATACCCAGGCTCTATTCCCAGAGTTCCCTACACTGCTGACTTTGAGAATCCAGCCCTAGAGGAACCACGTGTATATAACTGGGTTAGCAGCACAGCCCGGAAGTGTCCTGTCCCGGGCAGGTTTGCCCGCGCCTCAGCTCTTCGAATGGGCTCTGTAAACAGCCCGCACTGACCCCGACTCCTTCCCCCGTCCGCATGCCCCTCCAGGTGTGTGGGTGTTGGTCCAGCTCCCTCACCTGCCACCCTGGAGACCCCGCTGCTGCCTAGCTTCCTCACCTTTTTGGCCTGTGGGAAGGGTCTTTCCCGTTCAAGCACTGGGAAGGTTGTTCATAGCTTGTGGTTCACCCTGCTTTTCTGGCAACCACTGTCCTCCCAGGCTACCCCATGAACTCTTTAGCTGTGACCACAAAACACTTGTGACCAGCCGTGCCTTTTTTCTTACAGTGGGCACTGACTCATCCCTTTCCTGTCTCTTTACTCCTGTGAGTATTAATATTCTCAGCTCTGTGTGCATAGGTGCCATTCCAGTTCAGCCACATCTTCCTGCCTTCTCTCTCTGCGCACACACATGCATGTATACACTCTTTCACAGAAAAACCTACCTCGCTCTTCACAGCTCTGCACACAGTGGTATATGTTGGAAAGGGAATGTAGATTCTAGAGTTTGGCCTGGGTATGTATCCTGGCTCTCTTATGGCTGAGTGACTAAGTGTACGAAAAGTAAACCACCCCGCCCCATTGTTATTCCATTTTTCAACTGTGTACATGGGGACTCTGGAAATGACCTTTGAAAGCTGATGACAATGAAGAGATAATATATTAAAAAATGGTGAACATAGTACTTGGCCTATAGTAAGTACCACTTCCTTTCATCAGTCACTCTGGTATCATCAATTAGGAAGATCCCCTCCCTATTGCCTTGATCTTGTTCTAAAAGCACAGAGGAGGTTGGGCTAGGGAAAGCGTGGAGTCAAATGCAAATAATTGCGTTTTTCTCAGTTGGAAACCTACAGCCTAAAATTAAAGGCAGTTGTGAATAGGATAAAAGTCCCTCCATAGGGCATTTACAGTGGGCATTTCGAATACATTCTCTGAGTTTACAATCTGGACTGTGAACTGAAACGGTATTCCTTGAAAGGAAAGGGAAATGGTACAGGGATGAATAGGTACAGAGAGTCTGAGAGGCAGGGACAGGGACCCTCTTCTCTCTGGGTCTGCATCTCCGTCGGCCCGACAGCCCAGCAGAGTTTGGAGGTCCCGTCAGGGCCCCTTGGGCCGCAGAGGCTTCCCCATCGCTGTCCCCTGGACGGCCTTCAAGTTCACCAGTGCTTCTTACAAAACGTGCTTCCAGAACTGAGCCTAAGACAGCAAACAGAGCAGCAAAAGCGTCTTTAGCTTTTAGCCGATGCGATTGGTATGGTGGCTGGTGGGTTAATTGAAAAAGTCAGTTTTTAGAAAATCATATCCATTTCTTACATATTTTTCTTAAGGCAAAATATAGAAATACTCACCCAGTTGCATTGTCACCAATATCCAATGTCAGGAAAGGGATCTGACTGCAGAATTTCTATTTTCATGATTTCTTATTCCTAGTCTTCTTCCAGTTTCCCCCTCGCCCACATCTAATTCAGCCATAGTTCTTATTTTAAGCAAGTGTCTTTTGTCAAGTCTCTTCAAAACATTGTACTTAGTTTTCCTAGAAACAACTTTTGTACTTGCTGTCAGTCTAACAAATTTACATTAAGGCACATAATGATCATAATGGATCTAAGTGACCTAAATGGGTCTGGGAACCC